TTTCCACAAATTTAGAAAATTGAAATACCATCCTGTGTTCTATCTAAACAAAGGAATAAAACTCAATATCAACAGTAATAAAAATGGGGAAAATGATTCCTGAATGAAAAATCAAATCATGAGAGAACTCAAGAAGGAAATTAAGAAATTCCTAATTCTTTCTGCTCCAAGAGTAGGCTGAGGTGAGCTGCTGGAGAGCTCCCAACAAACCTGACAAGTGTGCCAGTCACCACTCCTCAAATAAGCTTCTTTTTATCACATATGGAGACTATTATGAAGTTGCACAACTGATCAGAGAGTAAGTGTCTGTGAGTTGTGCAGCCTTAAATGACACATCTACAATGCAACCTCTACACCTAAGGCTCAGAGAACATTGCAGGGCAGTGTTCATAAAGAATACAGTTGCATCTCTCAACTCTCACCAGAGAAGCTTCTTCATGCAGCTCATGGTGATTAACACAGAACTGCAACTGGCCAATATGCAAAGAATAAGAGGCTGCAGGGTGCCCTAAATAGGGCATCTGTTTCAGATCTGTGCCACCAAAAGCTCAGGGATTATTATGGAAGCAGGGGCAGAAAGATTGTAAGAGCCACAGGAGGTGGACAACCACAAGGAAACAAAGAGTTTTCCAGACAGGTAAGAAGTTACTCCTGTGAATACACAACAGTACTGAATGCACAAGACTCACATAATCTCAAGCCAGACAAAAATCCTAGCATAGAGGCGAGGAAGTGGGTAAGATGCCCCAACCATAGCTGAGGAACTACTGGAAACCAATAGCTGCTGGGAGAGAAAGGGTAGGTTTTCTTTAAGGAGATGACACTAATAGGTGAACCAGCCTCCAGGGGATGGGTGCAAACAGAGGGGCATTTGGGGATACAAATTTGATTTGATAGACTTTATATATGACAAAATACATGAATTGGGTCAGGGACCTTAAGACAGTTACAAATAAGGGAGGGGGTCTAAATATGATAAAAATACATTGTATGAAATTCTCAAAAATACAAATAAAGTTTTTTTAAAGTCCTAGAATGAAAATGAAAATAGAACAAACCAAAACTTATGGGACACAAGGCAGTCTTTTATTGTTGTTGTTTTCCTTTAAAAAAATTTTATTGAGAATTTCATACATGCATATGTTTGGATCAAATCCACACCCACTCCCTCTCCTCCAACACCTCCCATATCTCCCTATCACTTTTTTCTGACAATTTCGTGTATGCTTCCTTTCTTCCTTTTTTTTTTTAAATGGAGCTTTTTGCTACTCTAACATTCCCCCTTCTGAAGAGGAAACACTAAAATCTTTTAGAGATTCGATAAGAGCTCCCAAATACTTTTGACATTTTTGGCCTTTGAAACATAGCATGTTGCTAAGAGGCCCAAGGACATTTTGACTTTTAGCCAAGAAAGCTTTATCTACATAGTACATGGTAATTAAAAGTACTAGACTGGTGGAAATAACCTTGGATGTTTAACAGCTGTACTTTGAGGCCTATGCTAATCTAGTCAGAGGGACTTAAAGGACAGTTTTTGCTCCTTGTCCTCCAAGGTTGACTAAGTTCAAGAGGACTGTGGAGCATCTCTCAAAATGTCCTGTAACTACAGTGAGTCATCTGTCCTGTTCAGGGAGTCCATGGAGACAGCACCAGATGGACTTGAACCAGTAAGGAGGGTCATCTCAGAGGAAATATTTCCTCCATGCTTCCAAGTGAAGACAGCCATGGTCAAGTAGGACCTTTGACTTATCTTCACATAGATGGAACTGGTTAAAGAAAGGAGCCAGGGACTCCTCCCAAGCCCATGTGACCCCTGAGGAACAGATCCTCCAATGACCTAAAGAGTAAAATACATTGGTTTATTTGGGCCAACTGTATGGTCTTAAACACCCAAAAGGAAAGTATAACCAAAGATTAAACTGATCAGTATATTTCTTTAAGAGTTCAAGGGATTACACATCCCAGACCTTAGGCTTAAGTCCATATAAAATGTTATTTAGACAATTATTTCTTATTGATGATTTTTGTTTCTAAGCAGAAAGTACTGCTCAGATGTAAGACTTCAAATCTTGGTCTGTAATATTGCAGTGCACACCCATAGCTAAGGGAGACAACCCACTATTGTTCTAAAATGATGGCTAAATTTTTCTCCCCCTATCTAGAAGTCTTTGAGAGGGAACTGACACTGATTCTAGTCACTCCAACAGCTGTCAAAGTGCCCGAAAACAAATCCTGAGTCCATCACTCTCGAGTCCAGCCTTGGCAGACAAAAGAAAAATGAGGAGGAACCCAATAGAAGGATGCTTTTGGAAGCACTCGTCATGAGCATTTGAAATTTGCCCTGTTCTGACTTTCTGGTTCCCTGTCTAGAACTTGTAATGCTAACTACTCTTGCCTTTACTTCTCCTTCACATTCCCTATTCACCAGTCCAGAATTTTCTTTTCTCCCTACAGATAGGAATTGGATAGGCAGTTAAGGTACAAAGACCCCAAAGAAAAGTAGCCAGTTTCTTGGTTACAAGGTAGTCTTACAAGGAGAATTTATAGTATTCACTGCCTACACCAGAAAATTAAAAACATCTCTTTTAAATAAATTATTGATGGCCCCTGAAGATCTTGGAAAACCAAGACTAAACACACCTGAAAAGAAGTAGATGAGAAGAGATAAGTAAAATCAAGGCCAAAATTAATGAAATAGAAATGAAGAAAACAATACAGAGATTAACGAGATTGACAAACTTTTAGCCAAAGTAATCAAAAGAAAGAGAGGACCCAAATTAACAAACTCAGAGATGAAAAGGGAAACATGATCATTGACCCTGAGGAAATTCAGAAAACTGTAAGGACATATTTAAAAATCTTTATGACACTAAACTAGAAAAATCTTTTTTTTTAAAAAAAGGATAAATTTCTAGGTATGTATGGCCAAACAAAGTTACAACAAAATGACATAAATAATTTAAACAGAACCATAACAAGCAATGAGATAGATGTAGTAATTAAAAATCTGCCAACTATCCAGACATGATGATGCATGGTTTTAATCCCAGCACTTAGGAGGCAGAGGCAG